GTGTTGCATGCAGTCACAGTCACAATTGAAAGCAGCACCGCGACTAGCAGAGTCAGCAGCTGCAAAGCCTGCTAATCAGACGTTGGAGCGAGCGAGCTACATACAGTCTGAGAGGAGTCGATGCTACTTGCTCATCCCTTCCAACATAGACTTGATTTACAGAATTGGTTGACGAAGTGTTGGAGTCTCATTACCAGATAGGACAAGTGTGGATGGGCTCACTCGGTGGATTGCATCGACGAGAAGCCAGAAGAGACAGGCCAAAGCGGGGCGCTCGCAAAATCATGGACAACAAGTCGGCTGTCTCCACTCGCCATCACAGCAAGAAGCGCAAGCATCGCCATCGCTCCGAAGACTCGCTGCGTGAAGCCAGCAGGTCATCGAAGAGCTCCAAGCAGACCACCGAGGAGCCTGTTGCGCCTTTCATCAAGCTCACAGATTTGCCCATAGAGGTGAGCAGCTCGAATCTTCGCCTTGACGACATCCGCCCAGCGACGGACACGCTGATCGTTCCATCACCTTCACACTGTGTGACTGCATTAGATTCTGTGGCAAATATTCGAGCTTAGTGAATCGCCTCAGCTTCCACAGACGTCGCGCGCTCTGCGTCACACCTTTGCATCCGCGCCTAGTGACGTCAAGGCAGGATTTTTCCTGAGGAGATACGCCGCGATCTTTCTGGATCCGTGGCTCGATGAGCAGGTCACAGAGCGCTGCTGGGCTGGAGCTCTTGTGCCCAAGACGATGCCCGGGCACTACAACTCTGCTCCGACGGTGCATCTCTTCCAGACCGACTTCTGGCTTTCACGTCTTTGCGAGCCTTGCAGCTCCAATCCAAGCGACTCCCCCTCGACAAGTCACTCTAGGGAGGGGAATGGAGCATACGAAACGCCAGATGGGATGTACGACATGGTCCTGAGCTGCGGGGATCCTCCTCGACACCTCGATCCTCGCTATGCATCGCTCATCAATTTTAGCGTGGCTTGCTCCGCTTGCGATGAAGGAGTTCTTGCTTCCTTGCAAGAGCGGATACGGCTTCAGCGCAGCGCTAGAAGGGCTGGTACGAAGGAACACGCCGCGGTCAGGAAGAGCATATACTTACGTCTCCGTCGATTGCCTAAGCATCTGTTCAGATCATCCCCATCGAAGACTTTCGAGGGCAACGAATCCGACCAGGAAAAGGAGCGACTGTTCTTCTGCAACGTGCTCTACCCTTTCGGAGTCGGCGACGAGCTTCCCCTGCCCTTCAAGTCTCTGCGATTCCTACTTCGCCTGCTGACCATCCACGTACACCTCAACTCGCCTACCGACTATGGCCTTTCGCGAGCGTGCTTCTCAAAGAATGCACCCTTGATGCGCCTACTGCTGGCAACCGTCTGTGCACCTGCTGGCAAGAAATTTCGGCTGAGCCTACCGAGAGCGACATGCCTCTCTGGCAAGTGGCTGCAGGGCCTGAAAATATTGGAGAAGAGGCCCCGACTTGAATGGGTGGTACGCATGCATAAAGCTTTCAAAATCATAGCTTGCTGGTTCGCTCTCAAAGATGCTCAAGAGACTGGGAGGATGTCCTTCGACGACTTTGGCGAGTTCCAAATCGCCATCGATACCACCTTACACTATCTGCAATCAGTAGCTCGCCAAGAAGTGGCAATGTTTACCATCAGGATCGTGTCTAGCAAGACCGATTTCCTTAGAGAGTACCGACCCAGCACACTGTGGAGCGAAGGCGTTATTCCGAGTCACGTAGGCGAGGAGCACGACGGGGTACTAGAGATCAGGGTGCCGATGCCACAATCTCTGGAGCGGCTAGCAGAGCACTTTCGAAAGTCGTGCGAAGCTCCAAAGTCCCGCAAGACCGCACCAGATCCCGAGGACGCGATGAGCTTCGGCTTCGATGAAGCTCAACAAATGGTGCTGAGCGAGAAGTGGCCGCAGGATGCAAGTGTAGCTAGCTCACGCGAGCTCCACGAGGCCGTCCAGGCCGGTGCTTGGGATATTGCCGATCATTTGAAGTTCAAGGGCGTTATCCCAGACCTGCCTACCTTAGCACTGTTGGAAGAACGCGAAGTCCAGCACAAGCGCCATCAAGGCGAAGAAAAGCCTAGCAAGCGCAGAAAAAGATGAGTGAAGCGCGGCGCGGGGTGTTGAACCGTGCCCCTTTAGCGCTCTACTCCTCCTTCAGGCCAGCCAAGCCGGTTAGGGGCACCACTTCACGCTTTCTAGAGCACTCGTCGGTCCTCTCGGGTCGAAGGCGCGACTCTCATGACCTCCCTGTTTCCCGCCTCCAATCAAGCAATTTTTAGCAGTCGTATCGTCACCCTCATCAACCTTCGTCGCGTGTCAATGCTCATAATGTCGCAAAGCTGTGGAATCCGCTTCGGGTTTCCATGACTGGCCGTGGCACGGGCCAAAGTTTGGACCAAGGTAGGCGCCTCCGCGTACTGTTCGTGTCATGAAACAATGAGCGCAGTCACGAGTAGATGCATCCTTCGATCTGACTCGGCGCATGACGATGGGTGCACCCACAGCATCGTTCGATGGAACCACGCCTTGGGAGTGATCCATTCGCGATTCATAAACGTGACTGGAGCGAGAAGCGCTCTAGTCCCGTCGGTGATGGACATCCTGGTGCACGATTTTCGGGTGGTGATGGGACGAGTCACGAGTCAGGAGCGATTCTGGAAAGGCGTGAGGGGCTGTATCGTGCCGAAGACTTCGTGACTTTTGTGGCTCATCATGCATGACTCACGACGTGGATGCGTGCAAGCGCGTGCGTGGTCGAAAGCGCCGAGAAGCTTCGGGCGCTATGCAGCATGCTGGGCATGGCCGGGCAAGGGCTGCAGCTGTGCAGCATGCAGCAGCTGTGCGGCTATGGTGACTCGCGTTTGACGTCATGTGGCCCTCTCACCACTTAATTGGTGCACAGCAGCAGCGGCCCCACGCAAGCGCGCACGGACTCCAACGCGCAGTCGCGTGATGAGGTGTTGAGCGAGGATCGCCGCGGCGCGCCTTGCCGCATCGCATGCGCTCGCGGCGGCGGCTAGCACGTCACACTTACAGTACAGCAGCAAAGGAGATCTCATAACGCAGCATAGACCCTCTCGAGCAGAGGTGAAGTGCACGTATATGGCGTTCACTATCCCCACCACCATCTATTGCCGAATCTCTCCATCCACTCAACATCAATACAACAGCGTAGCAAGATCCTTTTGAGAGGTCGAATAAACGTCGTACTCAAACGGTCAAACCAAACAGCAAGCTTCTCTCACACTGCAAGACAAGATGCCCAAGTCTTTCCACAAGGTCGTCTACCACCCCGAGCACAACGCCAACGACCTCTTCCAGGTCATCGTCAACGGCGAAGAGGTGAGCTACACTGAGGCTTCAGGGAGTTGTGCAAACGCCTGTCTGCTGGCGAGCAGGGTGTGGCCGTGCTCTGTGCTGACGCCCATGTTGCCCTTTTGTCCTGCCCATGTTCTCGCAGTACAAAAAGTGGAAAGCTGGAGGTGAGCAAAGATTGGGCAGTCGTAAGCACTTTTCCCCTTACTTATCAGTTTCCTCACGTGTTCATCTTCACAGACACGTGAGCGCCCGATGAATGCTGCTTTGCATTCTGACCTTGGCCCGCCAAAGACGGTAGAGCTGATGGCTGCCCCCGTCTCACCTTTATGCAGCACCATTCCTCTTGCCGATGTCGTAGACTGTGAGATTTGCGCTCTGTGCACGAGTCAATCTGCTTTCACACAGCTGATCAGCCCAGTCTCGTTGGAAACACAGCATTCCAAATTTTCCACACTGGACAAGGCGCTCAAGGAATCATGGGCAAGCCTAGCAGGCAAGACGTGCGCATAATCTCCAACAAAAAAGGCTCCTTCTTTGTCCGTAGCTCACCGTTTTCCCCTTCCTTCTCGCCCATCTCTCGCACGCAGTTGGACAACTTCTTCGGTACGCACAACGATAC